GAGAGAGAGAGACAGAGAGAGATTGAGGTGGGGGGAGTAAGAAGAACAGAAAGGGCAAGAGAGACACTGGAAAGAAATTCTCTACTTGGTGGTGTGGTGGGTGGATATGGTATTTTATAAGAAGGTTTTGAAGGTGATTCATCTGGAACTCTGATTCCTCCCTTTGGTGAGGTAACTTGAGAAGTCAATTCTCTGAGTGAAGAGTGAATAGATAGCTGATGCAGCAGCATGAGTGTATGACCCAGACCTGTCTCTTGCCCCCTCTCCTCCACGGGCCTGGATTAACCATTTGAAATGAGAAATCAGAGCTAGTTGCTCCCAGGAGGAGAATTAGACATGCTCAACTGTGCCTCAGTTGTGCCTCAAGGCCCAGTCCCAGACCAGCACATGCCTAGGTGAGCTGCCTTTCCTCCCAAGTTCAGACTCACTATGCAAGTACAGAAGCACATGAGAAGCCTCCATTTCTTTCCTTCTTTTCCTTTTTCCTCCCTTAAATTATTTTCTTTAAGTAGTTGTGCCAGGAGTTGTCATTTAACAAAGAAATGTATGAACATAGCACGTTCTGATAAAAGTCATCCCTTACAACATTCTCACCCATCCCAGAATCCTCCATTTCCTACCTTGGTCAAATTCTGGCAAGGTGGTTGGAGGCAAGGGGGAATGGTAATGGAGAAGGCAGGAAGCACAGTGGTGTGCAGGTGGATGGGCACCATGGGAGAAGGGATGGAGTGAAGGCGTGGCCACCACTATGAGACTGAGGTCAGAAGAGCCCTCACCACACCTCAGGGCACTCAAACAAACCCACAGATTTCCAGCATCCTTGCATGGGGACTCTCCTGCTGCATTCATCTTCTGTGGCTACCACAGAATAACGGACGCTGGGTAACTTATAAGGAGAAATGATTCATTTGACTCAGAGTTCTTAAAGGCTGCCACGTTCAAGATCAGCAGCCTCACATCTCAGTGGTTCTTGTTGGTGGAGACTCTCAGAACAGTCCTAACATCACAGAGCAAAAAAGCCCAGACAAGAAAGAGCCAGACTGGCTTTTATAGCAGACCCACTGTCAAGACAATCCATCAACCCATGAATCCATCAGTCCATGAGTGGACAAGCCCTCATGACCTAATTACATCTTACAGGTGAATACGTCACAAAGGGGATTAAGTTCCAATGTGAGTTTTGGTGGGAATCTGCAAACCACGGCACTAGGCTAGACTCAGATTCCCCAATCCATGTACTCCTGAGGCTGGCTTGGGCAGACTGGAGGAGCATTATTCTGAGGACACAGTGCTCCTGGTTCGAGGTCTGTCTCTTGTTTCATCCAATCCTCCCGCCTTTTCCTTTGCTACAGATGGGCTTCGGGCTGCAGATAGCTGCCACCCTTTGGCTCAGCCTAATCCTGCCTGTGGGGAGCCAAGTGCCAGAGTTCCGGGCCTACGAATTCCACTTTGGGCCCTGCCACGTGGAAGGGGTAGCTCTTCTAGAGCTGTGGAAGGCCTTCGGGGCCATGAAGGACATTGTGGTGAGTGGGGTGTTGCTCTGTTTTATGATTGTGAAGATCTTCACGGTTTTCTCTTCAGTGTCCTACATCTCTGTGACGGCAAGAAACATCACAAGCCACTTGTTACATACAAGCAATGGAGACCCAGAAAAGACACCTAGTGAAATGGGGTGGGGGGGGGAGCCCAAGGGAAATAGAGCTTGATCTAGCTTTATTATGGATAGACTCTGGCTCTGAGTTAAAAATCAGAGGCAGAGGACACTCCTAGGGTGAAACATTTTGGTGTTAGTACTGGGGCTTGAACTCAGGGCCGCGCACTGTCCCTGAGCTCTTTTGCTCAAGGCTAGAGTTCTACACTTTGAGTCACAGAGCCACTCCCAGTATTCTAGTGGTTAATTGGAGATAAGAATCTCAGGGACTTTCCTGCCTGGGTTGGTTTGAACTGCAATCCTCAGATCTCAGCCTCCCGAGTAAGCCAAGATTACAGGTGTGAGCTACCAGTGCTCTTTTTTTCTTCCTCAAGGCTGATGCTCTACCATTTGAGTCACAATCTCACTTTGGGCATTTTGTTAGTTAATTGGAGATAACTGTCTTACAGACTTAGCTGCCTGGGCTGGCTTTAAACTGATCCTCAGAATCTCAGTCTCCTGAGTAGCTAGATTGTTCAAGTAGTCTTATTGACACAAGGAAGCAAATGCCCCTCATTAAACCTGTGTCCAGACTCTAAGAACTCCTGGGGTTCCATTTGCCCCTGGGGAATGTGGTAGACAAGCTTGATGGTTAGGACCTGTATCCCCTCCGCAGGAGCCAGCTTACAGCTTAGCTTCTGAGTTCTCCTTTGGCCCCTCTAGTCTCAATAGTCTCACAGCCTGGATGGTTTAGGGTCTGGGGGTGCAGTGCCTGTGTGCAGTGGGGGGTGCCACTGGGGACCCTTAACCTGAGACCTCTTTTCTTTCCGCTCCTGAAGCAAGCTCAAGATAAGATCATGAGTGTCCGGCTCTTGAAACAGGAGGTTTTCCAGAACGTCTCGGTAATTAGACGAGGGAGAGGGAGGGCACTTCCTCTGTGGGGCTGATGGGAGCTGTAGCTTTTGCCCTGGGCTTACTCCACATTGGACAGGACCAAGCATGAGCAAGCGTGGTCTTGGGTCTGGAGCTACCATTTTGTGAGTCTGGGGAGGGGCGGGCTGAGGCTCCTAAACAACCTTCTCCATTGGCCCAGGGTTGCTGCCAACCTTTATTTCCCCTTTGCTTATGGAAACTCAAATGAACCCTTCTTCCACTTATACCTTTCCTCTCACCTACTACTCTCTTATCACCCATTAGTCAGTCAGTGAGCATGGATGTTGAGCCTGGATCCCTGAGGGATACTGGGCTTCCGGAGCCCAGGGGGCTAGGGTGCAATTGCTCTCTGTTCAAGGCTGTCATGTGTTCCCTTCTGAGTCATTTTCCTGCCAAGTCCCAAACCACAAAGTCCATGTTCAAGTGCCTTCAGTGTCTGTCATATTAGAGAGGCTGGGTGCTACAGAAGAAAGGAAATATTAGCTGGAGAGCCAGGTGTCCAGGGTGCCAGGCCTGAGCTATATGGCAGGATGGGCAGAGGCCTTGGTTCCACCATGACCTGGGTCTTCTGCAGGATGCTGAGAGTTGTTACCTCGCCCACGAGCTGCTGAAGTTCTATTTGCACACCGTTTTCAAAGACTACTACCACAAAGTCGTGGAGTTCAAGATCATGAAGTCATTCTCCACCCTCGCCAACAACCTTTTTGTCATCATGTCAAAACTGCAACCCAGGGTGAGTATGGGCAAAGCTGAGACCAGCCAACTGGGGATTGGAGTGTTTGAGAATGCTTCCCTTGCCTTATCTGGTCCTGGCTTTTAGATCACCACAGCAAGCCACGGGCATCATGGAAAAGTGTTTGGGGTGCAAGTCTGGGTCTGTCTGATCAGCAGGGGACACCTTGCCAGGTGCTCGGACACTTTGGGCCTCAGTTTTTTCACCTGTGAAATGCAGATGACAGTTCTACGGGGAGGAATTGCTGTGTGGATGAAAGCGGACAAGGCAGAGGGTGCTAGGCATGGGCTCCTAGAGACGCAGAACTCAGCTCTGTCTTCTCAGGCCTTGGGAACACCTTGGCATGAAGGGAGCTTGCCTCTGCTCCTGCCTAACTCTTGACAATTCCTCCGTTTGTTTTTCTGTCATCCAGCAGGAAAATGAGACAGTTTCCATTAGAGAAAGTGCCCATAGACGGTTCCTGCTGTTCTGGAGTGCATTTAAACAGGTGAGGCCAACACACGCTGACTAGCTTGAGCTGCCACACGGGGGCACCTCCGAGGCCTAACGCAGAACTTAATGCAGATCATTATACCAGTCTAGCCCCACACCCACCTGATTTAGCAGGAACTCAGTACATTTGCATCAATTTGCAGACGCTTTGGATAAGCACCACAAATAAAAGGGTCATTTCTTTCTGGTAGGGTTTTGTTTTATGCACGTACTAGGGCTGGAATTCAGGGCCCTCTCCCCTACCTTAGTAGGTTTTTTTTCCCTCAAGGCTGGTGCTCTACCACTTGAGTCACACTCCACTTCTGGATGTTGCCAGTTAATTGGAGCTAAGAGTCTCAAGGACTTTTCATCCCTGGGTTGGCTTTCAATGGAGGTCCTCAGATCCCTGCCAGTGAGTAGCTAGGATTATAGGTGTGAGTCACTGGTGCCGGGCTTGGATCCCTTTTATAGGAACAACTGCATTAGCTTGAAAATAATGGTAAAGAGCAAAACCATAGGAGGGAAAAGAGCCACTTGGGCTTGTATTTTTGTCTGCAAATGCACTCAGATGTGAGCCACATTCTTCCAGGCTGCCCTCCATTGTTCTGGATGTTAGGGGCTCCATGTACTGTCTTTCCCCTGGCCCTTACTACTGTGGCTCAGTGGCCTCTTCGTCCACACCATTGAAGCCAATGCACATAGGTGGGTGGGTATGTTGTGAAAGCGAACTAGCTACTAATCAGGAGTCAGGCCTATTTTAGGCATGGCTAATCAGAAGGAAACCGATTCTAATAGCCAACACCGCCGACCTTCATCTCTGTATTCCCTGCAGTTGAACACAGAAGCAGCTCTGACCAAAGCCTTTGGAGAAGTGGACATTCTCTTGACCTGGATGGGGAAATTCTACCGTCACTGAATGCCTCGTCCAGGATACCCTCCTTCTCTTTTCAAGATACGATTGCTTCCTGTGCTTTCCTCTGGGCACTGCACCCTTGACAATGTGCCCCCTTGTCTGCCCAGGCTTGTCTTCACAGGACTTCATTTCCCAGTAGCCCAAACACCACTCATGGAAGTCACCTTGGGAAGCTGAGAGGAAACCACTTAGTGGATTCCTATATTTATCACAACGCTATTTAAGTACTGTATTATAACTGACTCTATTTGTGAGTCATGGCAGTAGACTGCCATGACCCTGTTCCCCTTTCACCTTCCATGATTCCCACAACAGTCTGGGGTGAATTGGTACTCGGCAAAATATTTAATAAAGTGGATTTCTGCTTGCCTGTGGATTGTTGATGAGTAAGGAGGGAGGCTGGGGTATGAGATGGAACTTGAGTGCATGGAAATGATCTGTCTGCAGGGACAGAGTACTGGGGTAGGAATCAGGGGCAAAGGTTTGAAAAGTGAATGTTAGAAGGTAACATGTAGTTAAAATACTCAGCACAAAAGCAGTGTCACTAAAGCTTTCCTGTCCTGTCCACACTTGCAGCCCAACCCCCCTCAGCCCCTGCTGGCTCTTCTCCTTGGGTGCCCTTCTTTCCTCATGGTAGCCATTTTGCTTTTCTCAGGTGACAGTGTCAAGCAAGCATTGCTGACGGTGACAATGTCCCTGGGTGTACTGTTCAATCTGAGAGGACATTTATTTTGCAGTTCAATTTAGGTCTGGAAGCTTTTCTTTGCTCCTTCTGAATGAGTGCCCAGGAAGACTGGGAAAGGCCAGCAGTAAGAGGAAGCATTCTCTAGCTCTAAGCTCTGGCTGTACTTTGTAGTTGTCATCAATCCAAAGATAATGTCCGACTATGATCTTGCTTCACAAACTTCAGAGAGAAGGTAGGATGCCTCTGCTTCTGATACGGACGTGCTCCTGAAGAGCCCCCTGCCTCTAGAAGACACATGCTGCTTTGCTTTCTCTCCCCACCTCACTCTCTCTTGTCTGGAACTGGTATATTTCTAAAAGCAGATAGAGATTATCATTTGGGTTGAGTAAATTTGGCCAAAGTTAAGATAAAAATGCACAACTAGCATTGCTGAATGTGTAAAACATTGTTAAATGTGTAAGAAGGGTAAGAGGGGAAATGTTGGAGTCAGGGTAAATTCTGTAGCAAGTGGAGGAGACCTAAGGAAGATTCAGACATGCATGTTTGCCCATATGTATCCTTAACAAGGTAAGTTCTAAAAATTTACTGTATCATTATGTCAAGATAAGTTGCCTTGGGGCTGGGAAGGTGGCTGAGTGGTAGAGCGCTTGCCTTGCATGCATGAGGCCCTGGGTTCGATTCCTCAGCACCACATAAGCAAAAAGAAAAAAGCCGGAAGTGGCGCTGTGGCTCAAGTGGTAGAGCGCTAGCCTTGAGCTGAAGAGCTGAGGGACAGTGCCCAGGCCCAGAGTTCAGGCCCCACGACCGGACTCCCCCCCCCCCCCCAAAAAAAAGATAAATTGCCTTACTATAGCATTGAAATTCAGGAGGAGCTCCTGAGCAAATGCCAGCCTCTGGATTGGGACAAAGACCATCCATGACATGTTTACACACCAGGCTCCTTCCTAGCTCTGGGAACATCTTCACCATGGCATCCAATGGCCTGTTGTTTGTGTGAGACCAGACCTGGGAAGGGCTTTGAGGCAGCAGCTGTGCCTAGTGTCCAGCCTGATGCTAGGCAATCAAAGTCAGGGCTAAAGATAGCAAAGCCCACAGCCCGTTTGATGGTATGGAAAGGAAGCAGACAGCACTGGCACAAATGATCTGCATGCCCAACTGATGAACATGAGGATGTAAAGGTATGTAAGGCTGGCTGAAGGCAGGGCCACGCCAAGGCACAGGTCCATGGATGAGAGTTGAGTTGGGCCCTGGGAGGTGCTGAGGACTCTAGAAAAAGATGGAACAGGTATTGGACATGGACAGGCAGATAAGCCTCATTGGCACCAAGGTATGGGCCCGAGGGAACAGCCGGGAAGGTGAGTCAGGTTGGCAATATTGACATAGTCGTCTGAATCAGTGTCCACCATCTCGACAGCAGGCTTGTGGCACAAGCTCACATATTCATAGCTGGCTTTCCACGGTTGGGCAAGGAGCCTGGGAGCCTCAGATACCTGGGGATAACCAAGAAGCATCACTGAAACTGGGTAGATGATTTTAAGTCTCTCTCCAGAGGGGTCTTCACAGCAGGGAATGGGGGGAGGTATGGGCATGGTTGCTGAGTTTTAGAAAGCAAAGACACTTCACCAAGTGGGCCAATCCTGGGGATTTTCAGAGTGGTGTCTCACCTCCAGCTAACTGGAAGACACTTTGACCTAATGTAGGCAGGAAATGCCTCAGTGGGGCTCAGACTGAAATCCTGTGGTCATGTCTGGTCTGAAGGAGACCAGATGTAGAGCATTATCCCCTGGGGACAAGATGCTGTGACTCGTGGAGTAACTATGCATCTTCTTTGGGGAGTTATTCGTTGGTAGAGTGAGTCACTCTTGTTTGGACCTTCATCAGGGTTGGGAAAGGCTTTGGCATAATATGGCACAACAAGGCATGCTACCCTGAGGCTGGGTAGTGAAGAGGCGGGGGACTGCAGACCACATAGGGGCTGTGGTTTCTCATCCCTAGACAGAAACTTCAGGACCATCTGCACCCAAGATGGTTAGTTCATAGTTATTGTAATACCATCCGAGAATCCCACAGTAGGGATTGTGATCATGTTTTAAACACAAGTACTAAGAACTAGAAATCCAGTGGACCTTAGTAAGTGATCACTAAAAGGAACTTTTACATTTTGTACTTTGTGAAAGATGGAAGCAGCAGCAGTAGCCATCTCCCTTGGGGCTGGGAAGGTGGCTCAGTGGTAAAGTGCTTGCCTTTCATGCATGAGGCCCTGGGTTCAATTCCTCAGCACCACATAAGCAGAAAAAGCTGGAAGTGGTGCTATGGCTCAAGTGGTAGAGCGCTAGCCTTGAGCTGAAGAGCTGAGGGACAGTGCCTAGGCCCAGAGTTCAGGCCCCACAACTAGCAAAAAACAAAAACAAAAAATCTCTCAGCTGAGTGCTGGTGGCTCTTGCCAGTAATCCTAGCTACTCAAGGGGGCTGAGACCTGAGGATCGGCCTTCCAAGCCAATCAAGACAAGGTCCATTAGACTTTTATTTCTAATTAACCAGCGAAAAAGCTGATGTGGAAGTGTGGCTTAAGTGGTAGAGCACCAGCCTTGAGTAAGAAAGCCAAGTAAGAGCTTGAGGCCCAGAGTTCAAGCTCCAGTGCATGTGTACATAGGACACACACACACACACACACACACACACACACACAAATACTCTCCCAATGCCATCATTTGAGACTAATTCATTGGGCACTGGTGGCTTGTAGCCTAGCTACTCAGGAGACTAAGTTGGATGCTAGATCGGGCAAGAAAGTCTGTGAGACTGTTTATCTCCAATTAATTACCAAAAAAGTCATAAGTGGAGTTGTAGCTCAAGTATTAGGAAGCAAAAAAGCTCAAGGACAGCACCCAGGGCTTGAGTTTAATGGCATTAAAAAAAACTACACCCTCTGAAACATATATGATCAGCCAGTAGGCATAGGCACCTTGTTGTAAACTTGTTCTGTCAAGTTGTTTGTCCCTCATAGTGGAAATGAGGGTCTCCAGGAAGGAGACAGGATATGCTTCCTCCAGGTACAGCCCAGGCAGGAGAAAGTCTGAGCAGTCATGGGTGGCTTTGGAGGGAAAGGCAGGTGGCTGTGTACAATAGACAGCACCAGCCTGGCCATTGCTAAGCTATGGGAAGCTTTCTCCAGCATAGGTGGGTGGGTGGAGGCGAGCTCAAGAGTCTGGAAAAGACCGCAACAGAGCAGAGCCGTGTATCCGTGTATCGTTTTCTCTTTTCAGTAAGGCACATGCTTGTCAGTCAGAGCTCCTAATTTAGTCTCCCTTGAAGGTAGAGGTCGCAATGCACCACGGAGTGCCATGGAGGTGATCTGTCAAACTTCAGGAACATGGTCTGAAAGAAGCAGCTTTGTCTTCCTCCTTGTGGACAGGGATATGGACTTGGTGCCCGTGACTGCATTATGGATGGTAGTACACAAGGCAAGACCCCACGGGATGGTAGAGTAACAAATCTCTGGATAACCACATGGCTCTGGCCACAACTTCCTGCCCCCTCTCTGCCCCTGAGAGTAAACTTGCTCTCCGTTTCCTGAGCTCTGTGCTTTCCTGCCTGCTGCATTAGTTTAATCTATACTAATTAAAGTGTGCATTTACTCTTCTTACAGTTTTATTCCTTTTTTTGATTATGATGTCTCTGGTCAAGAAGCGCTGGACGCTTAGAAGGACATGTAAAACTAACCTCCTTGTACATCCTTTTGACTTTCAGAAATCTTTTTTTTAAGATTTTATTATTTTTTGGGGGGGGTGAGTCCGGTCGTGGGCCTGAACTCTAGGCCTGGGCGCTGTCCCTCAGCTCTTTAGCTCAAGGCTAACACTCTACCACTTGAGCCTCAGCGCCACTTCTGGCTTTTTTTTTTTTTCCTGCTTATGTGGTGCTGGGAATCAAACCCAGGGCCTCATGCATGCAAGACAAGTGCTCTACCACTAAGCCACCTTCCCAGCCCTCAGAAATCTTTTTTAGAAGTATTTTAATGACAAGATACTTCAGAGAATGCAAACGTTTTCTTAATTTGGGAAAATGGATGAATAGTTTAAAGGCTTCTAAAACGATGGAAGCTGGAGTTCTAGGTTTCTGAGTCCTCCTTACCAGTCCTCCTCTCCTCCTCACCTGTTGACCAGGTCTCAGAAAATCACTGTGCAAGTCCAGCCTACTCTCCCCAGTGATAGGTAAATTACTTTTTTTCATTAGAGAAATGAAAATTCTGGAAAATTCTTCCTCCTTTTAAGGAGAAACTGTCCAGGTAGATTCCACCCCTTTTAGAACCTTCCAGAAATCTAATCTGGCTCACATCCGTTACCACCTCTATTCTCTACCAAACTGTGGGCATCTGACACCTATTTATCCCTTGAGAAATGCATGGCCAACAAGCCAGGAAAACCAAGGCTACCACAATTGCTGGGATGCCAGAGTCTGAACACCAACAACCAAAGGAGGAAAAGGACCTAATGTGCGCCCCACGCGGGGCCCAAATGCTGGGAGAAGGCTCAGCCAGACTAACTGCACTCAGGTCCACGCAGGTGGCTGCCCGATGGCTGGTGGAGCAAACCTGCGGCTTACCTGCGGTGGACCCTGGGGTGGCGCCGAGGCTCCGGGACCGGAAAGAGCTGTATCCAGTTCTCCTAGGGGGAGGGGGAGGTGAGAGCGTGGCGAGACAGGACCCATGCTAGGGGCGTGGCCAGAACATAAGCCCCGCCCCTCCTGGCCCCAGGGCTGAGGCGAGGGTCTGGCCAAACCCCCCATCCCCACCCCAGGGCTGGGATCATTCCCACGCTCCCCCACCCCGCCCCGGGGCTGAGATGGGGGCGTGGCCAGACCGTCAGTCCCACCTCCATACCCCGCCCCGGGGCTGAGATGGGGGCGTGGCCAGACCGTCAGTCCCACCCCCCCCCATACCCCGCCCCGGAGCTGGGATGGGGGCGTGACCAGACAGTCAGTCCCACCTCCATGCCCCGCCCCGGAGCTGGGACGGGGGCGTGGCCAGACCGTCAGTCCCACCTCCATACCCCGCCCCGGAGCTGAGATGGGGGCGTGGCCAGAACTCCGCCACGCCCCAGCCCGCCCCCGCGGGAAGCCCTGGGAAGACCCAGGAGCTGGAGTACGGGGCTCCGGCCCGGCGTCCCCGCGGGGTCTGCCGCTCGTTCCCCCCTCGTCTCCCCCCACCCGCGTCCGCTTACCCGCGGGGTCCGGGCCCCGGGCGCGCCACGGGCAGGCGCTGTACACGTTGTTCTG